ATTTAGATAAAGAGCTGACCATTCTTGCTATAATAGCTCAAAAATAGATAATGTAAAATGAAAATGTTGAAAATTTCATTTAAATTACTTCATTCTGAGCCAAGTTATAACTCTTTGTAGTGTTGTCAAGATGGGTGCATTGTGGTAACCAGGGCACTGGTATATTCGAGACTTAGCCTCGCTTTCCCATTTTTAAATTAAATTTTTAAATGGCGAACCGTTCTAATCTAGTTAAAATCTTGAGTATCCAATGTCATCGAGAGTGGATTATGGCCTTGTTTTGTTAATAAAAATGTCTAATTAATAGTTTATATAACATTTCAGGCTTAAAGATAGATCTGCAATAGGAAGATTTAGCTCTTGCATAATGTATGTTTAACTGTTATTATGATGTTTTATTTTTGAAATAATAGAATATTTTATAGGCTGTAATAGGTTGTTACAAATTTCATTTAGTTAATAATTTATTTAAATTGTTTATACTTCCAGGCAAATTTTATCATAAACAATGCTTAATTGAAAATAAACATGGTTAGTAAGCAATTATTGATAATTATGGAACAATTTGATTAAAGCATCAGTGATTTCATTGTTAACATTTATAGATAAACATGGTATATTTATTATACACCTAGTTAGAGTGGATTTTAAAGAGACAGTTTGTTGAAATAGAAAAATTAAAATTCAAATAACATGCTGTTCTTGGATGATAGTCTGTGATTTAAAACAGACTTTTTCATAATTACACCTCAACACAGACAAATTTCACCTCTGGGAACATTTAAAGATGCATTATGTTAGAAATACACAAAGAGCTTGCAATAATTGTTCAAAAATAGATTTATTGCACAATGAATATATTGAAAATTTCATTTAAATTACTTTATTCTGAGCGGAGAGAGAGAGATGTTGTTTAATGTCCACTCAACACAAACTAAGTCATTTTGGGACAAACATATGTTTCAATTTTATTTCAATAATTTGCATGCGCGAAGGGTTCTTTAGCAGTGGGAAGAAACAAACCTCTACATTTCTCAAATACTATGTTTGAAAACTCTAATCCTTAAATTGGTTGGTTATCAAAATAACATTCGTTTGCGAGTGATGTTTGGAGAGATAAACAATTGGTATTTGTTTTAAATTATTGAAAGTACAACTGCTTAAATTGTCATTAAACTGTTCTGAATACATATTCAGCAATTAGCATGATCAAAAGGTGATTAATGATGACAGATTATTCTGGTTTGCTTAGATTTATTGCATTTTAAAGTACATGTATAGCTATAGGATTAAATTATCAAGGTAATGCCCTCTATTAGGAAAGATTAGAAAGCTTGATATTACTGGTATATTTATTTATTTATATATCTGCAGTCATATCAGGAGTAGAAATAGTATCTTTGTTTTACCCTTGACACGTGCATATTTTCTAACTTCTCAAGGTCATTTATTGTTAAGTCTCTAAGAATAAATGCATATAAGTAGTAGGGAGGTGATTGTAAAGGGTTGTTGAAAGGTTTAGTTTAAATCTCCAATCATAAGCACACACACACACACACACACACACACACACACCCACACACACAAAACTGCTCTATATACATGTATAGTATGGTCTAGTTTTCTAAAAAGAAAAATTAAGAAATATATAATATATTATTTGAAATTAGGACTATATTATTTTAAGGGTCATTATTTAATTTTATCGAGTTATTTTTTTCATTTGATTATAATTTTTCTGTAGATAAATTATTAGAAATAGTTTGTGTCTGTATTCTCACATCAAATATTTACCTATCCAGTAAATCTTCTACAAAATCGCTTTTGATTTTCATCTAAAAATGTGGCTCTGTTAGCAATGTATTAATTGATGAACATATTATTTGTTTTAACAAGAAAAAACAATAATGTAAATTAACATAATTATGTTCATGGAATAAACTTTTGAATACTACACTAAAGTTTATTATTAAACTTGACTGATACTGATAGATTAATTTCTTAGTTGTTCATTTTCAAAGCCTGTCGGTCAAAACTTCAATGAGTGACCTGGTTTGTGTAATCTTATTATGTTAATCCCATCTTTAAATTAATCCTTGATAATACTTTAGGATTTCCTGATATTTTATGCAATAATATCATTTATAGGTTAGGTGATTTCATAGTGAAATATAGCTTAATCTAAGCTAGATTATACAAGGAGATAAGTTTTTAAAAAAATTTTTTATACAACTTACACTGACAGATAACCATTACCTGTAGTTGTACTTCTTGACGGTTGACTTTTACTTCAAACGAAACAGTATCTGTATTAATCGGTTAATTCACATCACATACGACCTTTAACCTTTACCAAATTCATGTTTGATAGAAGCCAGTGTAGAAGAGAAGTTGGTTGGTTGGTTATAATATTAATGAGATTTGCATGTAAGTAATATTCTACCTGAAGCCTGTATGATATCTTTATCTATATATGTGAATGTTTGATCGACCAGACTGTTGAGAATTTCACGGTTAATGGCAGTTATCTGTAGTATGCGTATACCCTCTACGAACATTTATTTGATAGATCTGTTCACAGTGGGCAGAAGGATAATAGTGTCTTCTGCTGGGATAAACTCTTATCATTGAGTTGTTTGAACTATATTCTACCGAAATAGTGAGTTTTTAATAAGTTATTTTGATATTGTTCTATTTTTTTTATTATTTATTATAAACAGTAAACAATTAGATACAAAAACGGGATATAAATACACAAGTACAACCCTTTAGTTGAGAAGTGGGGTGTATCAGAATATTCCCATTGCAGGTCTTTTTTGAAGTTAAAAAGATATATAAATGATTAATTAGGCGTTTTATTAACATGACTCTCTAGACAATTGGTTTTTATGATATTGAATGGATTAGACCAGACAATCAAGAGATTATGTCAAAACAGTAAACTGTCCTAACTTCTCTTATAATAAATAATTTGACTGAATTATCAATATATTCATTTTATATTATCTATTTTGGAACTATTGATATTATGGAAAGAATGGTAAATTCTTTGTCTAAATCTTACCTAATGCATGTTTAACTAAATGGAGTGATAGTTATAGCAAGAATGGCCAATTCTTTATCTAACTCTTACATATAATCTACAACCTCTGACAGTGTCATAGTTATCTTTCTCAATACTACCTATAACAGTGTACCAGGTAGTTATCTTGTCATCTAGTTTTCTATTTACATGTGGGTGTTTTAAGAGTTTGTTTTAAAGGCGTGAAGCATGGTTATACACTTGAAGAACCTCATTAAATTACTGAACTGAATTTTAATTGAATACAGTGTACTATTAAGTAACAAGACTTGACAATTGGTGATGCTTGAAATTAAAACTCTTAATTTTTGTGTCTAGTTAAAAGTAGACAGTTTTATTAGTCAAGATTTTGTGTTGACACAGTTTTATTCTGGGTGATACTTTTATTCATGAGATAAAGAAGCATATTAATGATAACCAATAAAAATCTTGTGACTGCTCTAGCAGGTAAAGTTATTACCAGAATTCTATACAGTGTTTATGTTCATGAAGTGAAGAAGCCTATTGATTTCAATATTTGTCTGATGATTACTAACATCATAGTTATAATTAATAGCTTTTGATCACCTTAAAAAATCTTGTGGCTAAAGCTCTCATCCAATTGCAACAGCCTCTATGGCTTCTTGCCTGGATGTTTTACATGCTGTGGATGTATGTGTGTTGTCTGGCAACCTATATTTATCCAAATCTGAATGATCTTGCTCATTTAAGATTTTAAGTCGAAGCATATTGTTGTTAAAAGGTTAGTAGATTATTCTCTGATCTATAAAGCAATCATGTCCTTGACATAACAGGATAATATAATAGGTATGTGTTGTTCTTTAATTTGAGGCCAGGATGGATAATTTTCTAATTGATATAAATGAATGCTTGAAGTTATTGACATTCGACTAGTTAATTTCCTCAGCCTGCCGATAAATCACGATCAACGTCGGCTGCCATTGTTATTCAATTTTCACCTACATTGTTGTTCTCTGTTCATGACTGCATGCACTTAAAGCTTTATTAAAACTACCGCAAATAAAGCTGTGGTCAGGTTGTAAGAATTGTGTGCTGAAATTAAGTCTGGGCAGAGCAAATAAAAATGAAATTTCCATACCATAAAATGCGTGGAAGGCCGTGTGGAATTGACATGACAGTTGTGCTGCTTATCATGACAATGCCATTAGCGACCTTCCGTCGCTGACCAATCATTAAGATCATTTTTCATTCCTTCGATAAAGTCTTTCCTATCGTGTAATTAATTTTTTCTTTTCAGCTTGTGAATAATGAAAGACCTTTTTCTCTATCAGTAATTAAGTTTTCCTCGATTAGACTTTTTCCTTTCACCTGTGGGAAATGTTTTGATAAAACCACTAAATTTTTTAGATAATAGTTTGATCAATGCTTAGATACGGAGATAGATCTATTTCATTTGATTGTCATATTATCAGAAACTGGGAAGGTTGTGGTTGAACACAAGGAGTGGAGTACAGTTTAAAAATCTTCACTTTGTCAGTGGTGTCTGTATGAGGTGTGTACGTAATTGTTATGCTGTGCATTGGCTATATTCCTATCAGTATCTTGATGATTGAAAAATCTGCCATTGTATGTATAATTTCTAATAGGTATTTTATTTTAAACCTAATAAAAGATGGATGTTTTCTTGCAGGTTTTCTATTTTATACAGATTAACTAATATATTAATAATTGGTGGAAACGGCTACAGTGTGCCTATGTTTGGCAATAAGTCCAAAATTGTTCTCTTGTACTGACCTTATACAGTCCCAGAGTACCATTATTGTTGATAAGTGTGCCTTTTAATTTTATTTTTCAGCAGTTGCGCTAAGCTGTGGTTGAAGGCTTGTTCCTTTTTTTGTACTCGTATGTATTAAATTTCTAAAGACATGTATCTAAAGAAAAGTTTTTTTATTTTCAGATTGTGGTCGCTAACAGAAAGTCCTGACTGTTCACAGCTCAGCATAGTGGCAACAGCGTTCGTGCGTTCATCTGGTCACAGATCGTGAGATCAGTAATTGCGCCATAGACTTTAAAAAGCTAAGTTGCAGACTTTGAAGTGTAACTAACTGTGTTAAAACCTCAAAGCTTAGATTAAACACCATTTCTTTGTTGTCAGGAACTTACTTAAGTTAACTGTATGACAAATCCCAAAATGTCCGATAATAGTGATTCTGGAAGCGAGGACAATTTCTATAACGGAAAGTCAAATGGAAAGGACTATGATATTTGTAGAGATTTTCTGCGCAATGTCTGTAAACGAGGCAGGCGGTGCAAGTACCGTCATCCCAGCTCCAACGAATCGCGGGACTCATCTGGCCAGAAAATAGTATTTTGCCACGATTACCAGAACACTGGATGTCATCGACCAAATTGTAAATTCTTACATTGTACGCGTGAGGAAGAAGAGAGCTATTACTCCACTAGAGTACTGCCACCTAGATTACAACAAGCTGTTGCCATGGGATACGGAGGTGGCGAGACTACCAAGTTTGATATACCCATCTGTAAAGATTTCCAAAAAGGACAATGTGTCCGCGGTCTCAAATGCAAATACAGACATGTCAAGAGTGAATTTACAACTAACGGAATAAGCGAACGCGAGAGTCGTTTTGATGAGCGTTTCGAAGAAGAAAGATATGAAGGGTTTGATCGTTATGAATATCCTGCAGCAAAAAGAAGACGTGTAGACCTTGTTAGTTACCCAGGATTCGAGGAACGATATCGTCCAATGTCGTATCATATCGTAGAAGAAGAAAATTTAATGTTGCGTCGCAAGGTCGAGGAACTAAAGAAAACGATAGCAGATTTGACTGCAACCAATGAAGTGCTTCTAGAACAAAATGCTCGCTATCGTGTGTCCAAAGCGAATGCTGTGCAGACACTGACCAGTGGCGATCTAACTCATTCAGTGACACAAACACTCACACCTACAGTAAACCCAGGCGGGCAAGCAACAGCACACTCGATTGGTCATTTAAATCCAACCATATCACAGCAAATTTCCATGAACAGTGACTTGGCCACTCAGCATGCTTTGCAAACAGCGCAGCGTATGGCTTCAGGGGCAGGACTTAACGTTACCCCAACTATCAATGCTTCTATGGTGCCAGTTTCCATGACACAAACCATGGTGCCAGTGTCGCTTGGTCAGAGCAATATCTCCATGCAAACCCTCCATACCGGTTGTACATTAACACGCAGCATTCCACAGAGCTTCGCGGCGCAGCAGAGCAATCCTCTTGTATCATATCCTATCATGTCTCACTCAATGAGAACAGCGGCAGGTGCTCCCAGTAGTCTAGCTCATTGACCTTTGATTGTTAGCCTGTAAATAGTACTATATATAGTAAGTATCTATTGAAAATTATACTTACTGTTGTTATTTTATATACATCTATTGTTTATGACCTAACGGCCACCATGCATGAAAAAAATACCCTTTTTTTTTAGCTTTCCCTATTACAAAATACATTAGATGTTCCAGCTATTGAATAAAGACAATTTTCAGTTATAGAACAGGTTGTGATTTCATGATTCCAGAAAATAAATAGAATGTTATATATTTGTTTAGAATCCTGATTGGACATTCTTTGCCCCCTGCCTTTTAGCAAGAGTGGGGGAGCTATTAAATTAGTGTATTTCTATCCTTCTGCTACTCTCTTTCTCTTTGAAAGACAAAAACTTTTCGGAAGCAACCAAAGTTTATCGCAACAAATTTACGGTAATACTTTAATAATGTTCACTGCCAAGAAGTTAATACTCTCTGTTTGATATTGGCTATAATTATCTTGGGTCATATTCGAATCTGGAAATTTGATTCAATTCATTTAATGTAAAGCAAGAAATAATTATGTATGTAGTTATCTACCAGTCCTTTACTCTTAATCGATAACTGCCAAGACTCGATATAATCTATTTATAAACATGAAATCTATTTATAAACATGAAATCTATTTATAAACATGAAATCTATTTATTAACTTGATATAAGTACAGTAGATAACAATAGCTTCATGTAACCTTTAGTTTACCATAAGACCAACTGCACAGTTTAATTAATATTAGACCTTTCTTTTCCCCTTGTCAGTAGGGCTAGGGCTAGACAGAGGACCTAGCAGAGAACAGCATCTAGTCGGTCAAATGGAAGAAAGCCATGTACACCTTGACTTCATAAAAGAACCTACATGTATGACAGATGGAATTCAATGAAATGCCACAGTCTTGGCAAAATTTCTCTCATACATGTATGCCCATCTTGATTAGCCCTGGGAACGAATGGTTAATGTGTGCACGTTGGATCAGAAGGTCTGTCATTGAGTCAAGTGGGGTGGTTTCAATTCCCTGTGTGTATGTGACAAGGAGTAGGGTCGCCTGTCCAACCTCATGGGTTTTCTCGGGGTCCTCTGGTTTCCTCCCACTGCTGAAGACACCTACGCCCAAGCCCATTGTTGAAATAAAATTGGACATTTCTCTCTCTCTCTCTCTGGGAAGGTGCAGAAAAGTGGAACATTAAGCCACCTTGACACAATTGTTATGTACTGTAAGAGAATACACATGGTGGGTGAAGTGTCAAAAGGGTGTATCTAAGAATTTCTAAAGATTAAGAAATAGAACCTTTTGCATTTCAAAATTACCACAAATCAAGATAAAACATTTGGACACATGATACCCAGAACAGTTCTAATTGGTGTAGAGATACACAGCTTAGACAGAAATGTGCATATTAATTGGGAGAGTTTAAAAATGCAAAAAAAGTGTATTTGACTAATTTCTCGAGATACACCCTTTTGACACTTCACCCAAGACATGTATAAGTTACTGGCATTGAGTGATTGTGTTAAACTTTGTTTCCTAAAGGATACATTAATAGGGCTTGGTCATTAATAGTTTTATTGAGTTGTAAATCATGCTAAGAGTGATTATATATAGGTGTCGTTATAGAGATTCGAGCTCAAGACTGATTACTTCTTGTTCTGTGTGACGTTAGGATCAGTATCAAACTGTCTCCTCAAATAATAAATAGTTATAATCCTTTAGTGGCATTTAGCAATTTGAAACATAACAAAACTATACAGTTATATGGGACAACAATCACTGGTTTATTATACACAAGCACCACGTTTCGATAAGTATTCTCTTATCGTTATCAAGCACAATGATAACGATAAGAGAATACTTATCGAAACGTCGTGCTTGTGTATAATAAACCAGTGATTGTTGTCCCATATAACTGTATAGTTTTGTTAATAAATAGTTACCTTCATTATTGTATAGTTGGACAACTTAAATAGGACTTGCATGTACTTCACCTAATGTTTTTCATGGTTCTTGTAAGGGTCAACTTTCCAGTCGTTTCCTACCAAGAAATCTCTGCATATCGGTCTCAGAGCATTTCAGAAAACTTTAAAATACTAAACTTGATTATATAATCATTATTGAGGAAAGCAAACAATACAGTCCAATTAGTAGTTCTGTTCCGTTTAAACAGGTTGAACTTTTTAAAAGCTTGAAATATGAAAGAAGCAGTTCAGTTTCTACCAAGGCTCTCATTTCACTCAAATTTAACTGTCAATTAATTTCAAAGAATTTAACTTTTAAAACACAATTAGCACTTTTTGTCCCCCGCCTTTCGAAGAAAGCAGGGGACTATTAAAATGGGTTCGTCCGTCTGTCTGTCTGTCCGTCTGTCTGTCCGTCTGTCCGTCCGTCTGTCTGTCCGTCTGTCTGTCCGTCCGTCTGTCTGTCCGTCACACTTTTTGGGACACAATAACTCTCTTCCTAATTGAGCTAGAATGTTCAAACTTGGTGTATGTGTTTATTAGGTCAATGCCTTGATGGAGTTCGAAGATGAGCATTTTCCGCTTAGGGTAAGCAGAGATAAGCAATTTGATTGGTTGATGCTTTGGGACACGATAACTCTCTTCCTAATTGGGCTAGAATGTTCAAACTTGGTGTATGTGTTGATTAGGTCAATGCCTTGATGGAGTTCGAAGATGAGCATTTTCCGCTTAGGGTAAGCAGAGATAAGCAATTTGATTGGTTGATGCTTTGGGACACGATAACTTTTAATTGAGCTAGAATGTTCAAACTTGGTGTATGTGTTTATTAGGTCAATGCCTTGATGGAGTTCGAAGATGAGCATTTTCCGCTTAGGGTAAGCAGAGATAAGCAATTTGATTGGTTGATACTTTGGGGCACGATAACTCTCTTCCTAATTGAGCTAGAATGTTCAAACTTGGTGTATGTGTTGATTAGGTCAATGCCTTGATGGAGTTCGAAGATGAGCATTTTCTGCTTAGGGTAAGCAGAGATAAGCAATTTGATTGGTTGATGCTTTGGGACACGATAACTTTAGTTCTAATTAAGTGAGATTGATGAAACTTGGTGTATAGATTTATTATATGAATACCTTAACTAAGTTCGATAATGAACATTTTTTGCTGAGGGTAAGCAGAGTGATAAGCAATTTGATTGGTAGAAACTTTGGAACACAATAACTCTCCTTCTAATTGAGGTAGAATGTTCAAACTTGGCATAGGTGTCTATTAGGTGAATGTTTAAACTTGATGTAGATGTTCATTAGGTGAATGTCTTGACTGAGTTCAATAATTAACATTTCGAGCTGAAGCTAAGCAGAGCTAATCGATTTCATTTGTCGATGGTTTGGGACAAGATAATCTTGATTCTATCTGATAGAGAGTGATGAAACTTAGTGAAAAAAATAAATGTGCGATTAATTAATATGTGTCATCTATTTATTTTGCAATTTCGGCGGGGGACATCAGCCTCACTGTTGGCTTGTTTTGGATGAAGATTGTTTACTCAAAGTGGTTAAGGAATATTTACTTGTGAACATCATAAGCCTAGCTTGCAAGAATTAAGGTTGTATGTGATTAGGAGATACCAACTCTGAATGTACAAAGTTGTGACATTCATTCCTTTCAAAACAGTTTTGCCGAGTCAAGTCTTAGGAAAAAATCTCATTCTGAAATGTGAAATGTAGAAAAACATTGGCTGATCAGTCGAATGCATATTTAATTTACAGATTTAAATGAGATGCACTACACCTTTATTTCCTGTTAGCATGGTAATTCTGGTGCTAATTGTTGCTTATAATAACATCTGTATGATAATGTGATGTCAGATATTGAGTCCCAGCAAAGTCGTAAATAATGCAAACAGAAAATATTTGTATAGTTTGGGTGGGTGGATTTACATACGTGTAATTTGTAACCAATAAAAATGGGAAAGAGGTGTTCCAGCCTAAAATATTATTGTTGAGATCGTTGAAAACCATTTTTGTCTCCATCTTAATTCATTTTGCTAAAATTGACAGAATCTAAATTCTCTAGCGACATTGATTGAAAGGGAAAATGACCTCAACCTTTCAATAAGGATTTGTTCCTAGATCAACAATTGATGCTATTTTGTCCAGGCCAATGGCTGTAGTCAATTTGGGCTGGGGCCATCAACACTAAATATGACTTTACCATGAACATCATTGATGTTATTTCATTGAGACCAATTTGTTGTTGTCAATTTGGGCTGGAGCAATTAAGACTTAAATATAACGTAGAAACAATGAGTTTACCAAGTACATCATTGATGTTATTTTGTAGAGACCAATATATGTTGTTGTTGTCAATTTGGTCTGGAGCAATCAAGACTTAAATATAACTTAGAAGCAATGAGTTTACAACCTAACTTAGAAGCAATGAGTTTACAACCTATCGGTTGGTGGCCCTTTAAGAGAAATGTATGATTCTTGATCTTTATATTGTTTATTAACATGTAAAACTTTGGAGTAATTATTCGATAATTTGTTATTCCAGGTTACCAAGTTATGGACAGACATAAACATATAACTATGCACCCAACTATAAACTTGGATATTGTTGAAGCAGTTAATCTACCGAACATGAGAAAGATTCATCTCGTCATGACAGACAAATGTATTTACCATGTGTACAAAGTTAGTTGAATTACCACCCACAAAACTTCTTGCCAAGTTGTGGAATTCTGATTCTGAAACTCTACATAAACTCTGTGTGACCAATAATTGGTAAAGTTGTAAAAGAAACCGAGAGGAGAGTTAAATTAACAACGAGATCACCCACTGATTTTCCGTTTAGTAGCACAGAGCTGTTACTGATGATTTCACAAAGTATATGTATATTTATGTATATAGAGTGTTGGCATGTTGTGGAATTCAGAAAATCTTGCAGAGTTCTGTGATAATATGGAATTGGTGAAGTCCAGGAACCAGAAAGAGAAGTTGACAACGGCACAAACCTATGGTTATCCTTGATAGCACAGAAATCTGTCACTGAGGAACCGATTCACAATGCATACATATATAGTATGCCTTCTTATTATAGCATGTAGAGAAATTTATGAGCAATATATTTTAGAAAAACAAGTTGATGTTGAAAAATGAGCATGAAAACCTTCATTAAAAATAATTCATTCTTACAGCCAATTGACATTAATTTCTATACTACCTCAGAGTAAGCAAGAGTCAGTTCTAAAATTTGAAGTGTCTATATAGAGCATGGTAGTCACCAGGGATTACATCTATACCAGGTTGATATCATCTGTTCAATCAACAACCAATTAAATCACTTTAAATTGTTTGATCTGCAATAATATACTAAATCAGTAGTAGCCGATCAAATCACTTAAACTCTCTGCATTAATTATTAAAATGGTAACCCTGAGGTGCAAAAAAGGTTACGATACAATGGATTTCCAAGAATGACTGTAAATACCTTTATAGAAAATTTGTGGTGTTGTATGGTTTATTGACAATATTAGTAATTACAAAAGAGCAATATATATATATTTAAAATGTGTTCTTTGATGCAGATTTCAATGTGTTGCTATCTTTTTACTCATCATATCAGATTTTTCAAATGTTTATGATGAATAATTTGTTATAAATGATTTTACTAAAGTTGGGTTATTTTGATCTTTTTCATCAAGTTTTAATAAATTGGAATTATTTTTCTCTGTGGATGAGAAATGTTATTGTTCATGTTACTTTTTTTAAAATCTTTATTGTATAGGGCAAACGAAAATAGAAACAAAATTTCTCCCCTCAAATTGAATAATCTTAATATTAAGTTCAGTTCATGAAATCCATTGAGAGGCATGCGATGTTTGCGTTACATGAGTTGCATCTGTCTTCAAGATGTTATTACTTAAAATGTTCCATTGACATTGAACATCGGGATCTGTGAACATTTTGATGTAAATGGTGTTTATCTAAACTATGAAAATTCACAAAATCCTTTTCACTCTTATTTTGATTAACTGTGCAAGCGTAACAGAGCAAGGTTATGATAATATAGATACAAGGTGTGCAGCACACGTGTCATGTGGGTGTGTATGTATATATACATATATATTTACTTGTTAAATACTAAGTACTAATTTTATATAATTATTAAAATAAAACCCATATAAGTCAACATTCTCCATTTGATAACGGAAATCTCTATAACACATTATGTTACAAAAAAGCCCCCAGATTTTAGGGTTTTGATACTCTTTTGAATTTCATATTATGTGTTGACAAGCAAATTTGAGTGTACAAAAAATGGTCTTGGTACATGTTTTTAATTCCAAGGAAAGTTAAGTAGTTAAATGCAATTTAAAGAAATCAATGTACACTGAAGTCTCTTTAAATTGCTTAAAGTTCATAGTTATATTTCAAAGTTTCAATTTCAACAACTCTTGTATATGGTTCATATAGTTAATTTCAAAGTTTAACCAACTTTTGAACAAATGTTATATCTTTGAAGTTTATATTTTTGTAATTTAACGGAATTTGCTTTGATCACTAATGGTTATGTATTACTACTTTTAGTTTAAAAGCAGTCTTATGGAAAAGAAGATTTTTTTCCCCATGTGTTTTGCTTTTCTTATTAAGTTTTTTTAGAAAGCTTATTTTTTGTTTGCATCTTGATGAAAAAAATATGATAACTTGTAGCAATACTATACTTGAATAAATGATTGCTACAATAACACTGACTTAGTTTTAAAAAAAAATAATCTTAGTAAAAGTAATGCCTTGTTGAGTCAACATTTAATACTGGAGGGTGTTGGTTCCAAAATAGGGGGTGACTTCTTGATTTGTTACATTCTGAAATTTTAGGCAATAGGACCACTAGCAACAGGGCAAAAATGACTGTGGCGCCCGGTGCTTTATGTGAGATAAGATGATTAGTTTCTCGCATGTTAAATAGTGTCCGAGCACCCTGCTGTCAGCTGTCACTCAAAGACTGCTATTTAGTAATATTGTTTTGGTTCCCCACAAGGCATAAAATTCATAGTGTGCTTTGAAAAGATGGTAAATTCCCATATGTTGGAATTAATTTCAATATAATTATTTATGAATTTTTGTCAAAAAAAATGACTAATGGTATATTTCAATAATGCCAGAAAGCGCTTGGGAAGTAATTCAACAATTTATGATAAACACTTGTGTAAGCTCATAGTTCCTGAAGTCACCATCTAATTGGTTTGCAATGCCCTTCAGACAAAGAAGCCTATTGAATTTCAATGGTTCAGCTAAACTGCTAAAGTCCTTAAGGCTGGGATTAATTATTTCTGATAAATACCCATGATCATGTATTAGTGTATTGTACAGGCTCAGTTACCTGCAAAAGAATAAACATGCACTATCTATTGATTGACTGGCAACCTATCTTTATGTAATGAAATACCAGAATTGCAGCTACAAAGGCTAAATAATGAGTCATAGGAAAATTGTAATACCCAATAGTGAAATAGTATCATCAAGCACCTGCCAAAAACTATAACATTTCTTGAATGGATGCCCATTTAAATTTTGGGAAGAAGTCATCATACAGGTTACAGAAAATTCCCCATTTTATCCAGTTTCTGTGCTCAACCATTGTTGGAAACCGAAAATTCATTCCGATGATGCATCGGTTTTGGTAACAAGAAAACCATGGGTTCTGTCCCCACGAATTTAGCTTCTCGAGCTTTGTTATTTCTGTTTTGCAAGTCCAATTTCTTGTTGAACTCTGTGGTGAACAATTCCACACAAAAGCTCCCCAAACCTTGCCATAAATGCCGAATGTTAGTGATGTATGCAATTGAAATGGAGATCACGAATCTAATAATGTTTTTTGCTTTCATCTTTGTTAAATAGACCACATAAATTTTAGTTGAAGTCTTCAAATAAATCCAAATTCTTGGTTTAAAATCTGATGTCCTTGGTCTTAAATTTCGTGATATATTGTACGAAAAGCCACGTCAAACAATTGCTCAAAATGACATCGTAATAAAATATCGTGTGCATAATTCCAGTTTTCCTGTTAGTCTGTCGGTGAAAAATCAACATTAAATTTGAAGCTAATTGTGTTTAAGTAGTTGTTAAGTTAGTTTCTTGAGTTTTATCATTCCCTCGTGACCACCCCGTAAAATCATCTTAGGATTGCCTCGACACCTCGTTAATAGTATTTTATTCCCGAGCACCATTTAAAACAGTGGATAAATCAGAGAACAGCTGTAATAAAGTATTTCTTCTTGTGAGGTTCGAGTTGTGTCTAAAGTGATGTGAAGTGGTGCTGTAATGTTATACACAAAAATATCCAGATTTCAAGGAAGCAATTAACAAAATAGTTTCTATTGAGAACGGTTAATAAATGAATTGTCAACATAGCAGCATTAAACATAGCTTAACATTGTTTACAAAATCTTTAGATAGTTTTTACAAGCAGAATTCGACTTTAAACCAAACTAAAATATACAAGATAGCCCATTCAGACACATTTTTAAAAAATGCCTAGTATATTTACTTACGTTATTTAGTTAGGTTCTTCACTATTCCTACAAAATTAAACTAATTAAGGTAGCATAATTAAAGTATATGTTAACAAAGGTGCATTAAAACTCCCGCAAAAAAAAGAGATTAAAATACATTATGCAAGAGCTAATCTGCCTATTACAGGTCTTTCTTTAGGCCTGGAATGTTACATGTATGTAAACTATCAATTTATTAACATGACAAGACCTAGATAACAAACCCTAATCTCTCAACCCTCCGTGTTTCGAGATAAGACATGAGGCCATTACCTATAACGTTGCACCCGCGGGAGCGATTCACACCCGGCATTTTAAAACAAAATTGACAATAGTTTTAATCAAAACAACGATTGATTATTGTTATTTATAATATTTCTACAACACCCAACTACAATTAAGCATATAATCCTACCTGAAACGGGTACAAATCGTCGTTTTTAAAATCGAGGCGTTAAGCCGTTACTAAGACCGCCATTTTTTTAAACGATACGCTGTCATCATGAAGGCGGGGCTAAATATAAGGCTTTTATAACAGCCAATCAAAAGGACAATCGAAAGCACAGTAACTATGAATGGATTTCGATGGCGGTGAAATGTCAGGCAAAAACAACGCTTCATTAATTTAAACGCGAATATTTGGAGTTAGGCGACAGTTGTGCCACTACATTGGCCTCTGTAAGTTTAATTAATCATAATATCATAAACTTATCTATTTTAAAGATGTTACATGCATTAATAAAGAAATTGAGTTTGCCACTTGGAACTAAAGGCATCCAATCGTAGCTAAAAACAAACACATCAGTATATCTCAACGTTTTTAGCTTCGTTCTCGTAGCTAGACAAGACCATAATCAACTTTCGATGCCATCTGATTTTCATTAGATTTGAATCCACGGCCGTTGATGATTAACCGTTAAATTGGATAATCGGGACTTTATTTATTATCGTAACAACGGTAACAATAACAATCGAGGCTACAGAGTTATTGAAATTAGTATTTCTCGGCTCAGAATTTGAACTGTCAGCTCTTTATCCAACCTTCCATAATGCTACGTTAAATACAATAATTATATATATATACAATACTCGCCCAATCATCGAAACAATCAAACACTACCATTCGTTAAACCCCTTTGTACAACTGGTAATTTGAAAACTAATGCAGTGTGCGATGAGGAACATTATTCCCGGACAGTGGCGTTTCCGCCTACATGCACGCCAACGTGTACACGGGACCTCGGTTTGTCGTCCCATCTGAACGACTAGACTTTCCGCCCTGCACCACTCCTGGTTAGTGAGCGCGGTTGGTGCAGAAAAGTAAGACGTTAGACACCTTAATTTTATTTCATTTGGCTGGTTTAGTTCAAATTTTGTATACAATCTAATGCCCGGTGTAAATGTATAATAATCAATGAACATTTGTGTACCAGTCGGCGAAGACGCGCCGAGTTCTGATACATTGTATAGGCATACAACCATGGGCCAATCTGTATCATGTATGGCGTAGAGAGAGAGAGAGAGAGAGGGGGTGTTTAACGTCCACTCGACACAAACTAGGTCATTTCGGGATTAACGTATGGTTTAATTTTATTTCAATAATTCGCTTGCGCGTAGGGGGTCTTTAGCAGTGGGAGGAAACCGGGGGACCCGGAGAAAACCCACGAGGTTGGACAGGCGACCCTACTCCTTGTCACGTACAACCCGGGAATCGAAACCACGCCAGTTGACTCAATGAAAGACTTCATGATACAGCGCGCACACGCTGACCATTCAGCCATCCAACCCCCCCATGTATGGCGTATGCCCGTCTTCTTTAGCCCAGTTCCGAGCAGAACAGGAGGAAGTTAAACCCCATTTCATTTCATTTTATTTCATTTCTTTACAACTTAACTGTTGAATGTTTCCGTTGAATATTTACTTTCTGGTGGTTTTATATTGGAATTTATATATTTATGTCCTATTTATGAACTGTTAAAATAAATCTGAGCCATTTGTCTTTATAGTCAGTCTCACAATAAATTGAATTTTCATTAGAGTCCTATATAGTCCCATCAAACAATTATAAAAATTATAAGTAGTCTGACCGACTGGAAGCTAGAATTTTTCACTGTGGAACTTTTATTTTGAGTGTGTTACGAGAAATGTTGAACTATTGAAGGGAGGCAACTACGTTTATTAATTATTTTTTTTTTTTTAGCACAGTTCAAAACGTGGACATGTTTTTGTATTTTGAATATTCTTAGCCATATTCTTTTTAAAAAAAAATATTTTTAAAATAAAGAGTGTGTATCTCTACGAAAATCCACACACGTTCAATTCCACAGCACAGCAGTGAAGGTTTTCGCAATACCTCTGTGTGTGAAACAGAATGGTTCAATTTTTGAGTTTATAAATAGTGTGAGGGAAGAGAGTGCTAACTTCAATAGAGCCAGCTCCAAGATGTCAGCGCCCATACATCACGTTCGACAAGAAATTTGTCAAACCCGTCCCGCTTATCGAGAAGGGAAACAGCCGAAAGCTGTCAAGGTAATGAATTCGAAATGTGTAGATGAAGGTTTTATTTTTGCTTTTTAACTATGAATAGATAAAATAAATGTACTTTTTACGAATAAAGTAATGTTTTTAAACGATGCAGATATATTATTGATATAAAAACGTTTCATTGACGTTAATTTGTCTTAATTATATAGGTTAGACTAACTCATTCACATTTGTCATTATTTCATGTGATGTATACACATGTATGCAGATGCCACTCATAATAAATGAGTTGCATAGTTTGAGTACATCCTTATCGGTAGGCCAATATTCTTCCAAATGTATTGTTTACTACGAAGCTAGCACCACTATTCGTATTTACACAAGTGATTGGACTGTACCTATAGTGTAATAATTTATCTGTATCTGTGGATATACAGCGCAAGGTCCTGCTGGACATATAGTGTGCCGGAAAGGAGTGTCAGCTCTAGTAGCTCTGTAGTGTGAGTGTTTCTCTGAAGCTCTCAACAGTGGTGCAATGCATTGATGTATCTTGTAGGTGGTTCCAGTCTAAAGTTGTTTTGTTAAAGAACGAGTTGCGAAAGAGTGATATTTTAGTTGTTTGGATTTTAAAGCATTTGGAATTGTTAAATGAGAACTTCTCCACAGGGTTTTGATGGTCAAAGTCACTGAAATCTTGAGTCTTAATCCTGCGTTTATTTCCAATTGGTGTAATAAATTCCTGAGGGGGCAATGAAAGTATTTTCCCCTCGACCACTTTATAGAATATCACAAGACGTAGCATGCGCCGGCATTCTGTGAGCGGTGAAAGGCTTGTGTCCCTAAACATTTTGCTGACACAACCCTCTTCTCGTGAGTGAAAGTCACCAGCAAAAAATCTTGCAGCCCTTCTCTGGACCCGTTCGAGTTTCGCAATGTCCTCCTGTATGAATGGGTCCCAGATTGTTGCTCCATACTCAAGGATGGATCTAACCAGACACAGATAGGCAGTTCGTCTGCATGCTGATGGACAATGTTTTAGATTCCTGATGATAAAGCCTAGAGAACAGTTTGCTTTCTTCGCTGTTTTTGTGGTGCTAGATTTCCATTTAAGGTCCTCAGAAATAGTAATGCCAAGGTACGGAGCTTCCGATGTCTGTTGGAGGATGTGGTCACCAATTGTGTAGAAATGTGGCTTTTTGCTTCCAATGCGCAAAACTGTGCATTTCTTGGCATTCCCCAGTCCTTGGCCCAGGTTTCCAAGGACTGATTGACTATTCAACAGACACAAAGACACTGTGCAATAGTTTCTTTCCCAGCTTCTGATAAATTGGGCCTATATATATTTTGACACATGTTGACTAGTATCAAAGTTGTAGGCTACATGTGGGTTTATACTCTATAGTAAAGCATTGTGGAGACTTTTTAACCTTTAATTTACTGAAGTATATATAAAAAAAACCCTGTCAACCTATTTCTAGAAGCCAGACTGGTTTAAAGATTGTGTTCCATGTCATCACTGGCAGAACTTGAACTTGCAGTTGTCAGTTTTGAACGATAGAAACACGATTATTACTTAATTTCTATTAACAACCCATCTTCATTTGACTGGTTAGAGCAGAAAAATAGGACATTAAACTCCAAGTCATTCATTCATTCTACAAACAAAATAAACAAATTTGACAGATTTACTAAAATATGGTCACTTTTGAAATTATGGAAGCCATATTGAAAGATCTGATGGCCAATAAAGCATTCTTTAATTAAAGGTAGGGTCATTGACTTGGACAAGGGCTATCAAGAAATTTTCTAAAAGTTATACAAGTAGCTGTCAGCCTTCTAGAAAATTAAGTCTATTTGCAATTCTTATAATTTTTTCTTAAATGCCCATAATAATTTTTTTTATTATTTGACCTACAAGTTGCCAAAATAAAGAGGGGAATATATGTTTTTCATATTTCAGGTTTATACAGTAGCACAGGAATCGTGTTATATTTTAATACAAGGTGTACCAGCAGTAGGTGCTCAAGATGATCTTGTTAAATTATGTTGTGAGTTTGGAGTTTTAGAAACATACTGGCCATTAGATGATTATCCATCTGATGAATTCACATTGGTGTACTTATTCCAGTATGAACGGATACAATCAGCTCGGTTAGTATTATAAAATATAATTATTACTAATAAATGATGTTAAAGTTGCCCCACTCACTTACTGGAGCTAGGAAGCCATGGTGGCTTAGTTAATATGGCTCACCTACTGGAGCTAGGAAGCCATGGTGGCTTAGTTAATATGGCACTGGTTCACTGATTAGGAAAATGAATGCCCTATGTATCTATTTGTCTTAGCATTATGTACAAGATAATTTATTTTGTAGTTTGATAATCATGTCAATTTACTTCTGGCGATAAATAGTGCTTGCATGATATATTGTTGAATCGCTGTATTGCAATTCACCTTCTCACGATTTGCGTATTTAATCGCAAGATGCTGAATCAATCGATGTATCGCGATTCTTTGCTTTTGCCGCTTTAGTAAGCAAACCTGTCACTCTTAATTATCGACGTCACACATTATCAGACAAATACTCTTAAGTTCTTCTGGTCCTTATTGATATAAAACATTTTTATTTCATCGACATCAGCAGACCTAAAAATATCAATTATTCCTTTATCCTGTTGTTTTCTTGGTAAATATTGACCTGGTTATGATTTGTAGCACCTGAATCGCAATAAGTATTGTTTCGTGACTGCAGTGACAATACCCAGCAATAGTTATAAAGATAAGCTTTATTGTTATTTGAATATTGTGGGGTCCCAGGCTTGTGAAACTCATACTAGTAGACACCAGACCATAATACAAGATAATGAATAGAAAAAACCTTCAATGGCTGAAGTTTTCCTTTAATTAACGTTTTGATTGTTTTGTTCCATTTAGGGTTGCTAAAATAAAACTGGATGACAAATCTTTTTTCGGTGGAGTACTCCATGTTTGTTATGCACCAGAATATGAAACGGTACAAGACACCAGAGAGAAACTACAAGATCGGAGAAAAACAGTAGCAGCAAAAATACGTCAGAATGGTGGGTGTCAAATCTCTTTTAAAATATTAGTAATCTGCACACAACCTACCCCTCTTTTCATAATTTCAAAAGTGTGTTAAGCATGAAGAATGAAGTCTCTGCTCCTTCCATCAGACAGGATGATTTACCCATTTGGGAATGCTATCCAATACCACTGTCAGTCAGTCAATTTCACTGCTAGTTAGTCAAGACTGGTGAATATGACTGCCCAATACCACTGTCAGTTGGTCAATTTCACATCAGTCAGTCAAGACTGGCGAATATGACTTCCCGATACCTCTGTCAGCTGGCCCATTTCACAGCTAGTCAGTCAAGACTGGTGAATATGACTACGCAATACCACTGTCAGTCAGTAAATTTCACAGCTAGTCAGTCAAGACTGATGAATATGACTACGCAATACCACTGTCAGTCAGTCAATTTCACTGCTAGTCAGTTAAGACTGGTGAATATGACTACCCAATACCACTGTCAGTCGGTAAATTTCACTGCTGGTCAGTCAAGACTGGTGAATATGACTGAAATGAGATCCCTGGACTTCCATACCTTCTTCTCATTTCATCCTATCATTGTATTTCTGTTTCTCTTTCAGCTGGTCTTAGTCCACAGAGTAACCGATCAACCAAATTCAGTAAAAAGGAATTTAAACAAAATAAATCTATGTCAACATCAACAGACAAAAATCAGACACAAAATCCAATTAATAAGTTTCCGTATCACCAGGATCCATTACAAATAAACATAACTGACACACATGTTGAAAAAATAAATCCCTCTTTGCCAGCAGTGACAATACCTTATTCAGAATCCGTGCCAGCAGTGACAATACCTTATTCAGAATCTGTGCAGGCAGAGATTCAACATAATCGGTCTATATCTATGCTACCTCCTCCCCAACACATCCCACTGTCATACCCCTCCCAACAGAATACCATGGTTCAGTCCATCGTACTGCCTTCCCACAATGAACACAAGTCTGCTAACAAGGCTGATCAAATACAGTCAGAAAAATCATCCAGTGACACTAACAGTGATTCAAAGATTGTGAAAGGACTCATTGTTAAAGACTACAAAAATAAATACTCAGCGACTAAATTTATTCCCCGTCAAGCCATAAAGAAGACTGTCCCTGTGGAAAATGGCACAAAAAAAGACAAAGATGAAGTCAACAGAAATATCAGAAAAAATGCCTTCACTTTGGGTAAATCACAAGATGTGGAAACTCCCAAAGAGTTAAAAACACTAACTATGCCAAAAGAAACCGAGTTATCTGTCCAGACATCTGTTAAGGATATCAGAAAACAAGTTTCTAAGGTAATAAAAATGGTGATTAAATTCAAGTATGTTGTCAAGTTTAAATTGACCCCTACCAATAATGTAATACTATTAGTTTGTTGTCAAATGGTGAATGTTGCCACTGTCTCACGTCCGCTCTATTTGCAGCATTATACTCGTCATTAAGTAGCAGACAGTGTATAAAATTCTCGCTAGAAAATTATAAACCAGTTCCCCACAAATGTTAAGGATATGGTCGAAATATTCCTGATTATTTAGCTGTTGTCTACATTTCTGACACTTTTTAAGGTGTAATGAGGAATGAACAATACCGTTTTGCATTGATATAAAATTAAATGTACTGATAGTAAAGACAACCTTTTTTTTCAGTTTTCAGATGCTCCTCCAGTGAAAAAGAAGAAAATGAAATGAAGTATATTTGGAACAGAATTATTAAATAAACCTTTATTCTACTGTGATTATTCATCCTGATATACCACAAAAACAAAGCAATAAATGCTTATAGACATTAATCATCATCATCATCATCAGCATCATCAATCTGATTAAATACAGATCTATATTTCGATGGCCTTCACTACATGATGATCTGACCAGTTGTACTGGGAGGTTGTGTCAGGAGTAATATGAGCAGCTTTTGACCCTATGACATCAGACATTGATTAATCAATCAACATTGGCGGTTCTAGGGGTTTACCCGCAGTTCCGTGCACAGCACACCAAGAACTCACCATAACAGACCGTTTCATTGGCTAATTCCTCACATCAACTAGAACACCTGTTATATAACAACTCTTCCAGATCCTGGTTTTGTGAAGACAGGTAAAACAAAATTTTGAACTATAAAAAACGAAACGAAATAGGATCTGTGTTTTAATCAGATTGCATCATCATCATCATCATCATCACTAATCACTCTCAACCCATGAACCTTAAACATGACCATATCTTGTTGATATATATAACACATGTTGACTAGAATTACAAGTCATGTGATTTACCTTGACTATAATCAACTTAGTAAGTCTGTTAATTGATATTTATTGGAAAAATTAAATTTTGTTGCATTGAATTCAGCCATTAGCATGTTATAGCTTATTTATTCTCAGAATTTCTCTTGTAACGGACAGAGTTTTCAGAGAACAGAGTTTTCAGAGAATGTCTGACTGCATCAACATTTTTCGTTTTGTATTGTTTTGTTATAATATTTATATAAAGACATGTATATGTCTGTATTTGTTTCAATAAAAATAATGTTTTTTTATATGTGAGACAGTGTGGATCAAAAGATTACATCTATGTGGGTGCTTGCAGTCAAAGGGGTATAACTCTTGTTAAGGAAGATTCATTTATTGAACTCCTTTTGCAATTTTATCTGCAAATCTTAGATTTTGTACTTTCAAAACAACATCAAGTGTTATTTTAAAGCATCAATATGTTTTTCCAAAATTTTTTAAATCAATGTCTGGGGAACGAGTTTGGCAAAATGTAAAACTAATTTGTCTGTAAGGGGGAGATTGCAAGAACAGCTGTGACAACTAGTCTGAAATGTCAGACCATTTTACTATCATTTTTGATGGTTGACTGCCAGGGAAGAGTTATTAAGATAAGACACTGTTTTGTTTTTATTTTTTCTGAACCTTCAAAGTTTTTTGATAAAACTATCTTAAAACATGTCGATAGTTTGGAATTTTTTGCCAACATAATACATTTGATAGGTGATAATTTATGGACATAAGTCATAGATAGGGCAGAGATATGATTGTGTTTTGGGGAAGGTAAATGATTCGGCCTTGGATCAATGTACTGGTACAGGCTTCAGGAAATATAAATACTGGTATGGGAAAACTCTTAAAAACCTTAGAATTAGACGACCCAGAGAAACCCTACAAGGTTGGGCAGTCAACACTACTCCTTGTTACCTATCGAAACCATGCCAGCCAGCCAGCCAGCCAACCAACTCAACGACAGACCTTGAGATCAGAAATGCAACCGAATCCCCAGGAAAATTAAATCTCATATCTTTCTTTCATCAAATCCACGAAAAATGAAATTTAACGTCCTACTTTTCTGCTCCAACCAGGCCTAATGCAGTGTGCTTGTTTGACATTTTGCAGTTTAATTCTAATCTTCAAGGGGTTTTATGCACAATGTGAGGTGTACACAGACTTTTTTTTCTATCCCATCCAAACAGCTAGATGCTGTTCCTTACGAGGCCCTCCACCTTACATCACTGGAATATCCTGAGGAACTTTCTTGGCCAACACCTGGATTGAACCTTGGATCTCCTGGTTATTGATCCAGCACCTTACTCACAGAGACCCTGTTTCTCCCAAATGCCCAAAAAACAAAATTCAAAAAATCTTTTCAGCATATTAAATAAGCATTGTCATTTTAATAACAAAACACATATTACAAAAGACAAATAAATTTAATCTTAACAATTAACTCATGATGATAAAATATATGCACATATATTTTCTGATGTACTATTTTGATACAGACTATACCGGTAATAATTATATAAAATATTTATTACATATTTTTGTTCCACAATATGATAAATATGCAATGAGGGTGGTGACCATATAAAGGGAACAGCCACATAATCTCACTCAAGCATGAAGAGTTTGCATAAGAACCCAACTAGTCGCTTTATATGAGAAATCTAGTTGGCTACCCACCACTATATAGATTTCCAGCGATGTTATAATTTAAAGCAGAAACAGTTCACCTGAATAGATCATTATTGATAATATATGGATATGGGAAATGCAATGATTACTATTCAAGCTAACCCTCCAAATGCCGATTTAAAGATCCTATTTTTCACAAGAGATATACATAAATATAAAACAACCCATATCAAAACTGAATTGGATTTGCCACATCTATTGGACATATTAAATGTTGATAACACACAAATAAAGCTCATTAATCGATGTTGAATAAATAAAATGAATGATTGAATCACTTTAAAATTCAGTATATATCATGAAGAGCACTTTCCATAGTGGGCCGTTATCTTTGAAAATACCAAAAGCAAAATGATCAACTTAAATATCCATGATTTTCAAATAGCGATTTAATTTAAATAGTAAAAGGATTAAATGCATTTTGGAAATGATCTCTGCATGTTTTCAAATGTTTGTCCATTTAAATTCCAAAGCGGGTAATTTTCTTTGAAAATACCCAAAGCAGAATCATCAAATTAAATATGCATGATTTTCAAAGAGTGATTTAATTTAAATAGTAAAAGGGTTTAAGGTTAAATAAATGCATTTTGGAAATAATCTCTGCATGTTTTCAATTATAATATTTGCCCATTTAAATTCTATAGATACAGCAATATACCCAAGCACTAAATAATATATTGTAATATAAATAAGGCCATATGAATATATTATTGTGGTTCTCAATTTTTACAAATCTGATGCATGAGAGAGTTATTTCAATTTTTATGTGGCTTAAGGTTTCCTGACAACAAGTAATCAATTCACCACCGTCCATTGCTCGATAACATTTGTCAGGGTTGTGTACTTAATTCATTAGACCAACTATAGACGTCTGAGCTGAACCAGAAGTATTCCATAGTTCACTCTCTTTACCGTGGGACAGTGTGGTAATCTAAATAATAACAGAGAGAGAGAGATGGGGTTTAACATCCACTCGACACAAACTAGGTCATTTCGGGACGAACATATGGTTTAATTTAATATCAATAATTCGCTTGCGCGTAGGGGTCTTTCGCAGTGGGAGGAAACCGGAGAAAACCCACGAGGTTGGACAGGCGACCCTACTCCTTGTCACGTACAACCGGGGATTCGAAACCACGAAATAATAACAGATCATGTGGGCCCTTTTCAGTGATGCCGGTAATATCTAAGAACCAGAATAATCTTTTTATATGGCGTATTTCATTGAAAATTGATAATGATGAGTAAAAATATTTAGTGTTGTACATTATAAATAATAACAAATTTTGTCTTTTTAAACATTTTCTATTAACTAAAACAACAAGACGATTAGTAAACAAAGGCTGGTCAAACTTTCTGATACTGTTCTATTAAAAACTAAGTTAGAACCAAAGTGGACCCCATAAAGTTTTATATGTATAAGATTGTATGCATGCACTGTTCTAATTCTAGCTAAAGTTTTCTTAAGACTATAAATTATGACTGAATTAAAAGTTGTGCTTTTTTTTATGGACAGGAAACAACATTTACACACTAGTCTGACCTGTAGGCTTTTGAAATTAATTTTGGTTTAGAAGCATAACATAAATAATTACTGATCGTTTTAATTGATATTTGATAAACAATCATATCGAAGTAAAATATGACTTGAGCTAAAATAAAAAGAGCTATGCATGTAAGAATTAGAAATGAAAACTTCCAGTAAGACATGTTCTGCCACTGGTTTATAATGCCATACTCTGTACTCCATACAGTATTTATAATATAGAATTATGTCAATCTGGGCTAGGGCCACACACACACATATACTAATATGAATTTCTGTTGTGTGGGAACACCTATTAAGAATTCTGCCTCCAATTTCTTCCGGAAAAAAAATAAATTAAAACAAAAAGTACTTAGTTACTCTTCTCAAAACCTTTTTGTTCCAAATATTTTAGTTTTGATATTGAAACATGGCACACAAGAATTGAGTGGGTTATTTATTGATCAAGGCCTCCAAAAACTAAAATTTAAATTGGTTTGGCCTAGCTAATAAATTCAGTCATTGTTTTTTTTTTAAGGAGCTTGATCAGGCCTTGAGCACCATTGAGTGCATGAATCTGGATTGAGAAGATTTTTTTATTGAGCACCTTTCAGCCAAAAAACGTTCACAATAATTTCCACATTTTTTTTTAATTTTTATTTTATACAATTGACAAATGGTCAAAAGTCAATGTGTAATTGTGGAACTCGGCTTAGAATGGAGTCCTGGCTATATAGACTCTAAATCTTGTATTCTAAGTATCTTTGGCTATATTATGTTCCTGTAACGACCGTGAGTTTTACAACATCTAGACTGGTCTGCAATTCCCGAACTTATAGCTACGTTATCTCCCTTTAATGCAGAATCGTGAACAATAGTGTCCTATCAGTGGTTGTGACACAAACACACTCAAATCAAACATGTGACCTCCAAGGAAACCTTGACATTGAACAAACCTTGAGCTTTGCAACTCGAATATCACAGGTAGACATTTTAGCTGGAAAGCACGAGACTTGGTATTTGTGATGATTTAGGAATATGACAGGCTCCCCAGCTGGGTCAGTAGCCAATCGAAATTAGTGCCGAAATATGCAGGGTATTACGTGAAGGGTGTGATAAGATGTACGGAGTTAAAGAGCGAGATCAAGCCCTCTATTGAAGATGTGGCGAACAGACTCTAAATCTTGTACGCTTAGTACCTCTGTCTTTTGAATGAAAGGAAGGAATCACTCACTTTGTTATTATACAAATCCTCTTTTTTATGAAATCCTTCACCAGGAGAGAGATTTTCGACTTTAGAAAATTAAGGAGAGCTCTTTTCAGTTCACCAGCCAAATAAAGAAAACAATAACTGGTTAATATACTAAGTTATTAAATTCTTAAATTTTACCCTTTTATTACCAATGAAAATTAAAGTCCACCATGTCTTCTCAATATACAGTAAACCATCAGGATAATTTTGTAATTTATCACATAACATGCATGAGCTTACTATTTAAACCAGGAACAGCAGCCATCTTGGAATTGTGACATCAAAAATCGAAGACCATCAATTGATGCGCAATTGTCCAAGAAACAGGCATACCAATTTTCATGTTGATTGTATTTGAATTGGCAGAACTTCGCCCCAAGATCAAGTTCCAGGTTGAAAGAGCAGTGGATGATTTGGTACTTAATGAGTTAAACTAACAAATCTGAGTTGCTCAGTACAAAACACACTTAAAGACTTACACATGTTGACTATTATGATCTGTAGAACTTATGGTGTCCAAAACAATATGATTAAAACACACATCCTATTTCGTTAGTTTTTTATAGTTCAAAATTTCGTTTTACTTCTCTTCACAACATTAGGATCTGGAAGAGTTGTTATAGAACAGGTGTTTTAGTAGATGCGAGAAATTAGCGAATGAAACGGTCTGTTATGGCAACTTCTTGGCGTGCTCTGCACGGAACTGTGGGGAAACCCCTAGAAACGTCAACACTGATTAATCAATGTCTGACATCATAGGGCCAAAAGCCGCTTGTATGACCCCTGATGCGAAATCCCAGTATAACTGGTCAGATCTTCATGTAGTGTAGGCCATCGAAAGTATAAAAAAAACTAAACGAAATATAGATCTGTATTCTAATTAGATTGTGTACAAAGTGATCCAGATTGACATTTTGTAAACAAAACAAAGAAATCCCTCTTCTAAAGCAAGTTTGAGTATGACTAGAAACCTTCAGTTTGGTTTATTTGTGGTTCAAAGTATAGAATACATATTCTAATGACAACTGCCACTAACCGTAACATTTAATCTTTTTTATTAACCATTTATACAGTGTTAGGTGATATTTGATAGAGGCCAATTAGGGGTTTGGGGCTGAACGGAAGTTTCAGTTTTAAAATGCACATTTTTCTCAAAAATCGTATTAGATATTTGAGAGTATTTTTTTCTCTGTATTTTTCAGAAAGTGGTCTATGTTATAACTAAACAGTAGATATCTGGTCGTACTAGAACTTGAAGACATGAGAATTGTCTGATGAAGATATATAAAACATTATGTATATAGATTATATATATAAAATGATATATAATAGTAATAAAAGGGGATGAGATATAGGAATATCCCGGAAGGATTGAAACCAGAGTTTACATACATACATACATATACAGTTTTCATAGGATATTCTAATTTCTTCTCATTGTAAAACCAAACCAACCTTTAAAAGAAAAACGTACATACATTTTTAGTACAAGTGCTGTTATAGTTCAAGTCAAGAGAGAAAGAGAGAGAGAGATGGGTTTAAGTCCACCCGACACAAACTAGGCCATTTCAGACTAACACATGGTTCTTTAGCAGTGCAGAACAGTTGGACGTTAAACCCCATTTCATTTCATTTCTTTAGCAGTGGGAGGAAACCAGAGGACCTGGAGAAGACCCAAGAGGATGGACATATGCCTGTGTTCATAAGGGCCGTTAGGTACAGAAAAGAATAGGTCATTAACCTCCTCCATTTCATTTTATATCTGTCATCCATACAGACAATTTTAAAAAGTCATGCAATACCTTTGCAGTGTCCATTTGTGGACATTTCCAGTTATAAAGATAATACTGAAGATTGCCATCGCCCATTCCAAATTTTAATTCTTCTAAAAATTTCTTGTTCTCCATTAGATCTAGTGCATTAAAAACATCAAAATCCATCTGAAAATAAAAATAGGCATAATATCTCAATAAGGATTGTCAGATTTATTAGAGGGGGGAGGGGGAGGGGGAGGGGGGGGGGGCTAAAAAAACATAATGAGCACTAACTAATATACAAAACACCACATTCTTTTGTAATGAAGTAGATGTAACCTTGAGCATAACTATCGCATTGATAAACCTTAAAACCTAAAGGGACCATCCCAATCTTAACAGAGTCTCAGAAATAAAAGTCTGTGCACGTATGAAATTTAAGTGCCACAATATAAAGGAATGGTGTCTTTACCTTGTCTAAAAATTTCAGCTCAAAATATAGAGTGGTTTGGGCGTGAACGTCAAAACCGCTCAGATAATAATTGTTATCATCGACACTGAATAGTGATTATCACCTGAATTTGTGACCATCACCTTAATTATTTCACATCAAAGGACAGAGATAGAGAGAAATAGGGTTTAACATCCAGTCGACACAAACTAGGTTATACAAATGCTTGTAGGGATCTTTAGTAGTGGGAGCAACATGGTGGACCCAGATAAAACCCATGAGGTTGGGCCGGCACCCTATTACTTGGCTTGTACAAACGGTGGGATCAATACCACGTCATTTGACTTAATGTGAAAAGTAAGAGAATTGTCATATTCAAACTATTAAGTTTTTTCTCATATTTCTTTTTGCGCTTTACAATATCATAGCTCTAAAGAATAAATTTGCACATATTTTTCTTTTTTTTTCTTTTACAATTAAAAAATTTAAAAAATAAATTGTAACTGAACATCATTTTCAAAGACAGTTGTTATTCATATTAAGACGCAAGAAATTTGCTATATTAAAAAAATACAAATCACACAGATAACTTAAACAGCACTTTCCAAATTATGATTTGTAAACCGAGTGGCCCAGACAATTATTATTCATACTCACACTTTTGGCTACAACTAAAGCATCTAACATTAGTTCTCTCCATGGGGTACCAGAACTAACATTATAAAATGAGTATGCAGCTTTCAGTTGTTTATGTGTTGGATGATGCATCACAGACGATGATAACGTATAAAAACTTACAAAATCTGTTAGTTTACCATTTCTCTACAATATTTAAAAATATAAAATAATGGAATTAAATTTTCTTTATCAAATTTATTTGTCGAAGCAAATTAATTTCCATGATCCTGATAGATTCAAATCTCTTGAAGTGCTATAAGAAATGAAATGGGGTAAACTGTCCTACTTTTCTGCACCGACTGGGATAATGAAGACAGGCATTTGCCAGACTTTGTGCCTATGAGGGAACTTTTGCCTGGACAGCGGCACTATGGCCTACTTATTTCATATTCCGACTGTCAAGGGTTCTTTAAAGTGTATGCCAATATGTAAACAGGAAATCAGTTTTTTGTAACATCCGAATGACTAGACATTGTTCTTTGTCAGGCCCTCCGTCCTGCACCACTGATCACAAGGGGTAACCACGTCTGGGCATGTTTGACATTAACCTGGAGGGGAAATCAGAATCAACTCTCTTTTTGATCTTTATGTAGTGAATCTTTCTAATTCTGGATTATTGGGCATTAAAATAGGACATAACAGATATTAGAGACACAACAAGAACTGAGATACATCAAGTCTGTGGGCACAAGCAGAAGATCAAGTCACAAACGCACGGTTTTCTGGGAGTATATTAGCTGAAGACACAGAATATTCTGTTATTAGCTCTTTAAGTCGTGAGCAATCACGAATGACGAGTCTGATTCGAGTTCCCATCTTTGGCTATTGGTTATTGAATTTCTACAATTAAGAATCTGAAGAATCTCCATCACAAAGAAGATTCACAGATTCACTTAATAACGATATCCAAATAAGCTTATAATCAACTTACCTCTACAACATAGCTATCAACAATACCTTGTCTAGGTGTAAACCAATAATCAAAATCTTCTACAGAAAATACAGCTGAGAGATCAAACTTCCTCAAATACTAGAAAATAAAAAATACAGGCAAGAGATCAAACTTCCTCAAATACTAGAAAATACAGCCAAGAGATCAAACTTCCTCGAATACTAGAAAATACAGCCAAGAGATCAAACTTCCTCAAATACTAGAAAATAAAAAATACAATCAAGAGATCAAACTCCCTTAAATACTAGAATATACAGCCAAGAGATCAAACTTCCTCAAATACTAGAAAATTTAAGTACTGATTTAGTAAGATACATTACAAAAGAATATTTTAATATTTATTAAAATTTCATGGGATCTTTTAAATTTTAAAGTTCTGATCATCAATATTGTGAAAGTTGAATTTCTAAAAGTAACATCAGTCTAAGAGAGAGAGAGAGAGAGAGAGAGAGAGAAATGTGATTTAACGTCCACTCGAAATAAACTAAGTTCATTTCAGGACTAACATATGGTTTAATTATATTTCAATAATTTGCTTGTGCGTAGGGGTCTTTAGCAGTGGGAGGAAACCGGAGGACCCAGAGAAAACCCACGAGATGGACAGGCAACCCTAGGATGGACATCCAACCCCCCTCTAAGAAAGAGAGAAAGATTAGGTTTAATGTCCACTTGACACAAACTAAGTTCATTTCAGGACTAACATATGGTTCACTTCAATTTCAATAATTCGCTTGCACGTAGTTGTCTTTAGCAGACTCCTAGTTACATACACAGTAAAGCTCGAAAACCCTGCGACTTAAAACTCAATGGCAGACCTTATGATCTAAAGTGCACCCATTAGACCACAAGAATCTTTAAAATGAATATCAGTCCAAATGCTTCAATACAACGTTATTTACCAGGATATAAAGAATTGCATTAAGTAAGCTCGGGATTCGCTGTAACCATAATGAAATACTTACATCACTAAGAAGTTTGTGTGATTGTCTTAAATCAGATGGTTTATATGGTCGGAACCCTTCTGTTCTAGGTGACTGAAAACAAAAATAACTGCCTTTAATTGATTGGCTACAATAACACACCTGAATCTAATGGTGATACATTAACAAGAAATAAAGGCAATCATGGATGTGAATATTAGTTTTGTTGTATTTCTAAATTTTGTAGACATTTTTATGGTTTTATTGTCTGCACTAAACATTAATCTCATCCCTTCAGCAACATGACCAATGAAAAAGAGAGATAAATAGGGTTTAACCAGGTCATATCAATAAATCGCTTGTGTGTAGAGGGTCTTTAGCAGTGGGAGGAAACCAGAGGACCCGCAGAAAACCCACAAGGTTAGGCAAGTGACTCCACTCCTCATCATGGAGTCATTAAAGACTCCTGCAAATTAGCTAAATCGCTCTCCTAAATATTGAGATTAATAAACTACTTTCAGTTTTTGTTTACTTTTAAACTGCATATATTCAAGGTATCAGGAGCTTTTTATGGCTCCCGCACAATTTTATAAACATGAAGGACTGCTAAAGCACTTGTTCACAAAGCTACAAGTAAATTGCTAAAAACATACAGATATCCCTTATGTGTTCCATTTTAGCTACAATGGGACCTCTTTAGTTTCCCAGAGGGTCGAGACATGAGATGCCATCTTAAAGTAATATATTGATATTAAACCCTCACCTCTGGTAATTTATATAGTTTTAATGTTCGCTGCATCGTCATATTACGACTTAGATGTGAAAATTTAATATCAATTAATTTTCTTGGATTTAATGATCGATGCCAGTATCTGAAAAAATAAACACAAAGAAAAAATAAACCCTTAGGTTTTATAGGCGCTAAATCGCTATTCTTTGGCACCTAGAAATGGACACAAATGGGTCGCAATGAATATAATAATGTAATATGAATGTATATAAACTGATTTAAAATTTAATTGTAATTGGTTTCACAGTAATTTCTAATCAGTTATGATCGTCAAAATACGAGAAGAATCCAAATTGAATGGCAGTCTTTTGGCATCTGGTAATTCCAGTCTATGCAGATAGTATTTTCCTGTTGGATATGTTTAGCCTCGTTCATCGGGTTGTTTTATTATTACAAATAGCGATCAAAAGCATTCTGGCACGTGATTCGTGTGCCAATTTTCAAATTTTCGCTTTGTCTTAAACATTGGATATAAGAAGCTCATCTTTTCACGGAAAGATAACAACATCAATATTGATTGAAATTGACCAACAGGTCGTGTTTGCAATGTCGAAGACTGTGGATGATATTGAGTCAGAGAGTTGCCTCCTTTACTGATCGATGCCAAACAGTAGAAATTTTATTCCTTCAAGACATTTTTTCAGAAGTTTTATCATCAAAATCTTCAAAATGGATTTTCTCCCTTCTATCCAACAAATTCGTGGGGATACATGTAGTTTTTTGAACTGTTTAGGAATTGAACTCGCACAATCCCACAAATAGTGACAATCAATAAGAAAATATCTCAAACAACCATTACAGCTGAAAGATATTTGCCGTGTTTAATTACATGATGAGTCAGATCAAAGATATTCGCTGTGTTTAATTATGTCATGAGGCAGATCAAAGATATTCGCCATGTTTAATTACGATTCTACTCACATCACCTCAGTTACAGGCACTTACAGGACTGAATACCATTTTTCCTTTTTTTCGACTTGAAATGAAATGGGGTTTAAGATCCTACTTGTCTGCATCATTGGCTAATGAAGACGGGCATATGCCTGGACAGTGAAGCTACAGCCTTCTCTTGTATTGGATTCTTGTATTGCACAGCAACTTGTACACGGACATTGGTTTTATCATCCCATCCTAATGACTAGACACCCATCCTAAACCACCGACAAGGGAAAACAGCACTGGAAAATTCTGAGAAAGTTCTCGACCAATACCCTGATCACTGAGCCACTGCAACTCCCTATTCTAGACACAAATTAAAAATGTATTACATACCTACAAACTGCAACTGGTTTAGGTAAGACTACACCAGCAGTATAAACAGCCTGAAACAAGCCTTGTTTGTGAACTCTACGAGTTATTTCTTTGATTAACACGGGAGCCATACGTTTTGAACGTAATTTTTTGTGTACACACAGGAAGTTAATTTCTACCATTTTCTTTGATCTGAAAACAAAAACCATATTGCTTTAAGGTTTTGCAGAGGGTAGTCGAACAACCCATCAACATCTTCCCCCTTTGTGCATGGGGGTCTTCAGCAGTGGGAGGGAAACACTTCCACAGGGTCTGCAGAAAACCCATGAGGTAGGGCTGGCAAACCTATCTTATGGTCTAAAGCGAATACATTAGACCACTCGACCACCCAACATTCCACATTAATATGTTTATCAGCACAATACAACAATATACCTGTATGTATGTCACTTTTTAACAAATGAAATGAGGTTTAACATCCTACTTTTCTGCAGCAACGGTGCAAATGAAGACGGGTATACGCCATGCTATGAGGGAAATTTTGCCCTGACAGTGGCACTACAACTTACTCTTATATCAAATTCCAACTGTCAAAGTTTCTTTTACGTGCACGCAAATGTGTACACAGGAACTCAGACTTTTGTTCCTTCCAAACAACTAGACACTTTTCTTTTTAAGGCGTTACTGGGGATCTTTCTCGACCAACATCGGGATAGAACCTCAGACCTCCTGGTTAGTGAGCCAGCATCTTACTCACTGAACCACTGTTGCTCTACTTTTTAACAATCATTAGTAAATTCATATCATACATAAGTTGATAGATCTACTTACTTGTCATATATCTTTACGTGTGCCGGTACAGCACTAATAAAACCAACTAATTTCTCACTTTTAATAACCCTAATACCACAATGCCAACTCTGTAACCATCCTGGTGGCATCAATGCCCTTTAAAAAACATAACAGATAATTACAAGAACTATCATTGATAAGTTCTTTATTTCATCGTCAATACTGTAAATGAATTAGTGGAATGAAAATTTGTTTCCATATGTTATATGCCAAGGCTGGCATTCCAATCTACAGTGACATTCTAATTGTCCTAAAATATGTATCGAGAAAATTTATATCATTAGTTGTTCAAAAGCATTGATAGTTCAATGATTTCTCCATTTTTCACTTTCTATCGTAGTCTCATTTATCACAAACCCATAAATACTGGATTGTTGCACTGTATAAAACTTAGTATGGATAAACAAGGATATGTTCGATACAAATAATTGAGTCAGCTGTCAGTTACTAAGTGATATAGTAGCATGACTCAAGTGTTTTGCTTGTATTTCCTCTGGGGAATTTTGCATGAAATATGTAGGATTCTGAGCTAATACGACTGGGTTACTTGCCATAACTTATTTTACAAATATCTAATACCATGACAGCTAAATAAGAATTATAAAATGCTCGTACCATCTTAAGAATTCTGATGAATAGTCGAATCGAAACATGTTATCGTCATCTTCTACATAGTTTTCATTTAGCAATGTATACAATTCTTTTAACTAGAAAACACAAATTACAAATTAATTATAACATGTATTTTAAAGATGGTTCCCTATTACACACAACCATCCATACACACACATACCTTATGATCTAAATCGTGCAAGTTACACCACTCGACCATATCGAGCGTATATCAAGTGAGAGAGATAGAAATGGGGTTTAACATCCACTCAATGCCAAGTAGGTCATTTCAGGACTAACATATGGTTCATTTTTATTTCAATAATTTGCTTGCACGTAGGTAGGGAGATTGGACAGACAACCCTACTTGTCACATACAAGCTTGGAATGAAACCACGCCACTTGACTCAATGATCTGCAGTGCACACATTAGACCATTTGGCAAAAACATTCCCTCCTTTATCAGATGTATCCCATGGAAATGATGCGATCTTGTAAGTTCTAATGTTTCCATTTAATTAAAAGATGGAAATGATGCATTTTATTATTTTAAAAGATCTAAAGATGGCCATGTTGCATTTTGTTAAGATCTAAAGTTTCTGTTTAATTAAAACAAAGAAATGATCGGTTAACTTACTACAATAGGATCTTGTATATCAAGTGTGTCCCATTTGAATCCTGTTGGTAGAGAATATGGTTCTTCTCTAATCTCTTGTACAGATTTATCTGGTTCTATATGATCATTACCTTGTACTTCTTCATCTACAACATCAAATTATACAATATCTTTTATACAAATACTGAACCAAAATATTCTGGCAGATTTCACTTCTCCCATGGGGTTTAACATCCTACATGTACTTCGTGCTACAGACTACTCTTGTTTCCAATTCCAACTGTCAAGGGGTCTTTGACATGCACGACAACACTACAGTTTTCTATTCCACCCGAATGACTAGACACTGTTCCTTACTAAGTCCTCCTGTCCTGCACCACTGACAAGGGGAAACCACACCGGAAAATCTGAAACCTTGTGGTTAGCAGAGAGAGAGAGAGAGAGAGAGAGAAATGGGGTTTAACGTCCACTCGACATAAACTAGGTCGTTGGGGGACTAACGCATGCTTCAAATTTTATTTCAATAATTCTCTTGCGCGTAGGGTTCTTAAGCAAAGGTAGGAAACCAGAGGACCCGGGGAAAACCCTACTCCTTGTCACATACAACCGGGGAATCGAAACCACGCCAGTTGACTCAATGTCGGACTTCATGATACAACGCACGTCCTAACCATTCAGCCATCCAACCCCTCTTTGTGGTTAGCAACCCAGTGCTTTTCTCACTGAGCCACTTTAAAATATATAATATGATCTGTCATTTAAAGACGTTATAATTTTTCTTTGCTCAAATCAAGCAAAATGGGCTTTATTTCTTAAGAATGATTGCTTCTAAGAAAGTTACGTATACCAACCTAATTTTGGTACAGGTTGTGTTCTCCAAAACTGGAACACTTTCTTCTTAGCATCTTGAATGGTTTTCGCAGATTCTTTTTGCATGGAGAGAAGTTCAACAGCTCTCTGTATAGATTGAATTCCAGCAGCTTTTTGTTGCATTTGCCGCAGCTGATTAATTGAAACCTTCAACAAAAAAAAAAAGAAAAAAATATCATGTACAAAAGATAGAGCGGGAAAAATTGGATTTATCGTCCACCTGACACAAACAAAGTCACTTCGGGACTTACAAATAGTACAATTTTATTTCAATAATTGTGCTGAGGTGTTTTCGCAGAGGGAGGAAATCGGAAGACCTGAAGAAAACCGAAGAACTTGGGCAGGTGACGCTACTTCTTTCTGATACAAGCTTGATATCAAAACAATGACACTTGACTTAATTAAAGATCGTATGATCTAAAGTGCATGCATTAGACCATTCGACCACCTAACTCTCCCATGTACAAAAGACTTAATGTCTTTTAAATGTAAACAAAACAAGTAACAATATCGTTTATTCTTACATGTGATAATGAACACTGGAGGTACCGTTATCATTCATCGATGCAACAGCCAACGATTCAATTATCAGTCTCGTTGCTATCGTTGATGCAACGAATGAAAAGAAAATAACAAAAATTTCACGTTAAATCCGGTCATCTGATAGACGTTATATTCAGTGAAGAAACAATCAACAGATTTAGAGAAAAGTGTTCAAGAATCATACCACAGAACAGATTGTTCTTTGCATCAATGTGTAGTTTATATCAGCATTGACAAAGACCCTTCAATTTGTCAAGGCAACAGCTTAACAGACAATGACAATACATTCTTGTGACTTCATAATTTGCCCCTATGAGCAGTCACCTTTCTGCACCATCCAGGGGGAAAAGAAGATAAGCATACAACATGAACTGTGATATTAAGGAAATTTTCTCTGGACAGCGGCACTACATCCTACCCTTATTTCGAATTCCAACAGTCAAGTGTGTGTACTACACAGGAATCGTTTTTTCTACACATCCAAACGACACAATGCTTTTACATCCTCAGTCCTGCATCATTGACAAGGCGAAACCACGCTGAAAGATCAAGAAACCAGGTTCTCCTGGTTGGAATGTCAGTGCTCTAATAAGATGATTATTCTATTATTATTTATGTGACAGTGTTTTGATATTTTGCCTGAAATGTATGCATTTTTGAATTCAAACCCCATGTAGAGGATTATACCAAGAACATTAGAGATACATCTTTCACAAAATTGTAGTTTGCAAAGCATTCCCATTGTGCCAAAGACACTACAATAATTACCTCTCTATCATTCATATCATTTTCTGCATGATTATGATCAGCTGTGCACTGTCTATCGTGTTGTTGACTTTCAGAGTCAGCTTCAGCTCCTGACTGTAATAGTTCTGTTAACCCTTCAATCATCTGTATTTTGGTTTCTTGTTCATCAAGGACAGCCTGACTATCAGAATCTCCACTAGATCTCTCCATATCTTTTGGCTTTCTCTTCTTCTTTTTACTCTTCTTTCTAGATGACGCGTCAGCACTAAATTGTAATAACATATAATGAAATGTAAGCAAAATATTAAGTCTTCTTAAGGCTACATATATATTAATTGTATAGGTTCTCTGGTTTGCCACAATAACACAGATTGCAAATACCTTTATTTCTCGGACTTTGTATAGATAAACTTATTCATTTCTCAAATCTCAGTCAATATAACCAAAAACATGATGCACAGACTCAGGGAAATTTAAGAACAAGCCATAGACAATAATCAGATTGAGATATATACGGTAAGTCTGAAGTTCAAAGCTGAACAACACACCAAAAATACACAGAATTAATTTTTTCCAAGGCGCACAATTCAAAGTTTAAAAGCATTTTGTAATCAATGTGGTTCATGCAGACAACAGTATAAAAACACCATTTTGGTTTGCAATGCAAATCATGAGTCTAAAAATATGATAATTTCTTATTCAAAAGGCAACCCATGGCATGGCTAAATTTCAAAGCCGAAAGCAAAATGCTAAATAATTACGAGGGAGAAGACAATGTCATTTGACAGGAGAGTCTGAAATGCTACATGCTAGTCTACATGTTCAGATTTCGATTTACTGCATGACCGGACAGACCCCTTTTCATGTCAAAGCTTGAGACGTGCCGAAGTTTTGTTTGGAAATCAATCGCCATCATTCAATTACAGGCAATGCCAGGGTCTCCAACTTCTAATTCTGAGATAGAATAACACCATAAAAGAAAAAAGACAAAAGAAAACACGTGTTTAAAAAAGTACCTTTCTTCATTCACTAAATCGTCATCAACATCACCATCAACAGCGCTCTGGTCTTGTTCTAAATCCGAACTCATGTCATGCAGCGAATCTGCGTCAGCCATGATTACGATTTTGTGCAGGGCTACCTTTCTTGAACAAATTTCTTTAAATCGGTAAAAGAATATATGATGATAGAAGCAACTGACTTTGAATATATCGCCTGAAATAATGTTTAATTCCTTTATTAATATATTTTTTTATCAAATTGGGAGTTTAGATAAAAGATACGCAGTTGACGCATGAGCAGAGCGCTTGACAACTATAAAACGTGTATTTATTTCCGCTTATAAATCCTATCCCACTCAATAGACCGCAGGCGATGCGTTGAACTAGATAAGCAGTCCAATTTTAATATAAAATTTGCGAGTTTTTGCGGGCACATGCTGATACGTCACATTTCTTGTGACGTCGATTTTACGTCATGCTATGGATTATTCCAAAGCAACCTGTCTCATAGAGGTATATTAGATGACTGACCTTTATAAGTTCAAGTATTACAGGTGAAGTCACATCACCGGGCGTCCACCATTGGCTCTATATGATGCGTGCATTTTAAAGACTTTGTTGCGTTAAATGGTCCGGGAAGAATGGTGCCTTTTACATATTTTATATACCGTACCCATTTACACTAAATAGGAAATATTTTTATTATCTAGATATAGCCATAGCTGTCTACTTCAAACACGTTTATTTATTTTTCTAATAGGCTACTTCAAAAAAATGTTTTATAATTTAATTCGCAGATAAAAAAAGTTGATATCGCGAGCTCATTAAGCCGTACCGATGTCACCCCTCTCAGTGATTGTAGCGGCCTGGCGAATATTCACTGATTAGTGTGATTCCAAAGCTCTAGTATATTTCAAAAACGTGGGCCTTTTGGGGTGTATTCGAAACAGTGTTCCTGTGCAAAGAACGGACGGAGAATGGGTTCTTGTCGGTCTCGAACAGCTGAGAATGCGTTCACGAACACGTTCCCGTTCTCAAATCCCACACTACCTCGTTAGCTGGTGTGAAGCGAGAACAAACATGGTCGACGCGTCGACAACTGCCCAGAAAACAGCATCTCATGAGTTCATTTATTAAATTAAAATTATAGTACCGTTCGGAAACTGCATGTAGTGAGTGTGTGGCCAGTATAACATCAAGTAAGATAGTTTGCCAGGCAATGAAACATACGCCCACATCAGCTTAATCGTCCGGGCGGTCGACAAGGGTTGTCGCATATTCATTCTTTCGTAGGTAATGGGGGCATTTACAAGACAATTTCAAACAGATCAGATTATAATTTTCGTCGTATGTGGGTTTACAAACGGTTCTACAATCTGAAACAAGGGCCTTAATATTTGTTGAAATTTGACATATTTTTTTTACTGTTTTACTAATTTAAATAATGCATACAAATTTTATACAGATCGGATGATAACTTTGTCGTCAGAGCGTTCACAAGGTGCATCAAAGTGAAACAAGGGCCATAACTCTGGACCTAATAAACGCAAATTGCTGAAATTCAATAGGATTATTCGTTTCACTAATTTAATTGATACATTATACATTTCATACAGATTTGATTATAACAGCGTTCACAAGGAGCAATAAGGTGAAACAAGGGTCATAACCCCAGAAGGAATTAACGGAAATTATTGAAATTAAATAGGATTCTTCTTCTCACTAAAGTAAACAACATATATCAATTTCAAAACAATCTGATGATAAATGTTGTCTGTAGAGTTTTCACAAAAAATTGTGCATGACGGACGGACGGGGCGACGACAATATACGACCACATTTCCATGTTATCCTCAACGAAAGAAGTGAAAAGGAGTACAACGGAGTCATTTATCAAAATTATGCTTAATAGCGTATTCATTTATGCGTAGCACAGTCTCAAGTTATAGTAATAAATTGTATTAATTTAAAAATTCAACTTGTTATCATGGAAACCGTTCTCTCATGTTCGAGACTCGTGAAAGTGTTCTCGTGTTCTTTCGTCGTTCACGAACCTACGCGAACACTGTCTCGAATACACCCGGGTGGCTGAATGGTCTAACGCGTGGTCTGTCATTTAATGAAGTGGCGCATTTTCTATACCGAACTTCTACGCGACAAGGACTAGGATCGCCCACTTAACTTTGTGGGTTTTCTCCAGGACTTCGGGTTTCCAACCACTGCTGAAATAGATGCAAAGGCCGGATTAGGGTTGAGAGTCTAACTGGGCAGCAGCTAGTGGTACCGATATTAAAGGGGATACCAAATTTTATTATGATTATGTTGTATATAGGCCTATGTTTGTGACAAATAAATCTATATCTACTATACTGACACACAAATTGCCTAGCTTTGTTAGAGTGTGACGAACAATGGCAAGTATATGTCCTCTTTTTACTACTGACGCAATGAGCCCCAGTGACATTTTCTGCTAGGGGCCCCATGTAAGCTTAATCCGGCCCTGTCCATATATGATAGTCCTGATGTCAACTAGTCTGTGTCTCTCGCCCACCATCTCTTTCTAACTTTACCCCTAGCAAGAGTATAGCACCGGGGATCTTGCGCACGATTAAATTGAATATATATTTATTCACCCCTACAAAATCTAAACATAAACATTATGAAGATTAAAACGACAGTACGCTATAAATGAGGGACATTCGGCCCAGCAACTGAATTCCAACTGTTAAGTGTAATTTTACCCGCACGTCCGCGAGACCTTGGTTTTACATCCCATCCGAACGAGTAGACGATGTTCCTGCATAACACCACTAAATAAAGGAAACTACGCTGCAATATCCCGGGGAACTCTCTCGGCAGTATCGAACACGATACACAAATACAATAGTATTCTACTATTACACATTACAGATACACATTACAGACACACGATACAAAAATACACATAGTATCCTACTATTACACATTACAGATACACATTACAGACACACGATACAAAAATACAACAGTATGCTACTATTACACATTACAGACACGCGATACAAAAATACAATAGTATCCTACTATTACACATTACAAACACGTATGGGGATAATAGAGACTTTTGGCAAGCGTAAATTCCTGGTCCGTATCGCGTATCCGTTTGGATTTCGCGTTTGACGTCATCAATGTGTGTGTATTTCTCATACGTGATACGGCATACGGATACGACAGCACGTATCGAACAGCTTTCATACGGAAAAGGTCCGTATAACATTGTCATCTTTTTACCGTCTTTTTGCTACTTTTAGACGTTGAAATATTGTGCCATAGCGTTTTTTTATGAATCTATGTGTAGGCTATCCCAGAACACGAAGGTGTATATATTTGATTTGATTTTAACCATGATAACGACTGGAATGTCATCATTATTTTTGACGTGTTTTTCTCGGAATTTTCATACTTTTCCTTTCTGTCTACATGCTGCTAAATTTAGGGAGGTGGGGCCTTGCAAATCTGTAAATGATTTTGTTCTATGGTAAAGGAATACAAACTTTCAGAAATTGCTGTCGAATCGAGGTCGAAGATTTTTAATAAGATTTGACATTACATTTTCTTTTGTAATAGCCTAGCGACTTGTAGGCTAGGCACTTGACTAGTAGGCCTACTGGTGATGATGCTGTAATAGAACTATGCTCAGCTCAGAGACGCATAAGTACGCTACGCGAAAATCTGCCAAAACTCTAAAACTACATTGACGCAACGTATCGTGTATACGATACGGATACGTGATACGGATGGGAATATTCCTCTTGCCAAAAGTCTCTAATGACATGTTGAGTTATACGTTGGGGATACCCGTAAAACAAATTAACAAAAAACCATTTGTGGTTCAATGTCCTACATCTATTGTCTATTCCCAAATATACCCTTGAAATTCCATTATTGTGCAAAATGTCCGACCCGTTCTTCGGCCTTTTGCGGAGTGCCAAAACGATAATTTTCACACGGATTCTCTCCACGAAACACTTTATAATAAATACTTCAGTCACAATTTAGAATACTACACTAATCAAAATGCCGGAGATAAGAAGTCCTTATTTTATAAATTCGCAGATTTAATCTAGAATGAACTAATGCAAATAGGTGTCACAGAGCTGTCAATAGAGCTTTCGCGATTACAAAGTGCAATTTGCAAACCGTTTCTTTCTTAACAAATTACTTGAGACTACATATTTTGAAAAGAAAGGAGTAAATAAGGGGCGGTGCTAAACTTGTAAAAGTTAATCAACGGTCTTTGTAAATGAAAAGGCGATCAGTCGTGGGATGATTTTATCAGATGTCATCATAAAAGAAATTCTCAAAATAATTACGGGTTAAAGGTGATCTATTACGCCATGTCATCATTACGCACATGCCGACAAAATGTAGCGGATGTGGAACTCGAATAGTATTAATTTATTCCTTGAGAAAACTTTACTCTAAGCATTGTTTTTTATTTTTTTTTTTTTTTTTTTTTTTTTTATTATAAAGGGAACAGCATATTTGTACCCCTGGACTATTATTGTAATTTACCAAAATGTAATATCGATTTTGTTCGCCGATCGAGTTCATTTTAGGAGTTACTTCCCCTGGTTCATAACTACGATTAGTCTTGCCTTTCTTTTGTCCAATGGGGTAAACGTTTTTCGTTTCCTTTTTTCTTATTCTTTTTTTTTTTTATTTGATGTTTTTTTTTGTTTTTTTTTTTGTTCAGTGCCAACATGATTTTATCCTCGGTATGTTATAATCCATCTAGTGGTTTTTCTTTTGATTTGACCTAAAAATGCAACCGAACATATAGACTGTATAAATTGCTTTGCTGGGCGATATAATTACGAGATTAGCAAAAACTCGTGCAAAAATGATTTGCTTCAAGTAGCCTAGTGCTGTGATTTTCGATAAGTTATTTTGAATATATTATATAAAATTTATATTACAGCTGTTTCCAACATGAACGTGATAACCAAAATATCAGGTCTCAGTTTATTAATGGCACGGACGGACTCCATTGTTGACAAATAATTTTTAAAAATAAAAAAAACAACAAAACAAAACAAAGCCTTTACATTGTTAATAGCCAATACCTAAATAATGTTCTCATATTGTCTGATATTTTCTGGC